GCCAATAGCCCGTATAATTAGTCGAATTAATGGACAAATACTGTAAGTTTTTCTCATCCATCGGTTTCCAGAGGATTGTGTTGAAGAGTGCGTAAGGCGTGGGACCGCAGAGTTGCGGATTCCCGGGCCGACAGCTCGGATATCTGGCAAAGTTAGCCCACGACTCCATTATGAGTTGACTCATATTTCGGTCCGCTTCGGTCCAATCGGCCAGATTTAGATTAAGCGCCGCCGGGAAAAAGCGTGGGTCCATAAACGGTGCGCCCGATGCCAGCAAATACTCCGTGTCGTGCGGAACACCTTATAATTAATTACTCATTAATTTCCTTATATTACGTAATTATTATGTAATCAAATACCCATCCAATGCGGAAGATTAAGGCCTTCTATAGTATAGTTCAAGGCATACATATAAGTGCGCACATTGTTCTTCAGCATGAGTTTAACCATTTTATCGTTTCCGGCCGTAAAGTATGCGTCGGTCAACATCTGATTGATATGAAATATTAATAATGAAATACAGTAATTGACGGCACAAGACATACTGCCAATAGCCCGTATAATTAGTCGAATTAATGGACAAATACTGTAAGTTTTTCTCATCCATCGGTTTCCAGAGGATTGTGTTGAAGAGTGCGTAAGGCGTGGGACCGCAGAGTTGCGGATTCCCGGGTCGACAGCTCGGATATCTGGCAAAGTTAGCCCACGACTCCATTATGAGTTGACTCATATTTCTGTCCGCTTCGGTCCAATCGGCCAGATTTAGATTGAGTGCCGCCGGGAAAAAGCGTGGGTCCATAAACGGTGCGCCCGATGCCAGCAAATACTCCGTGTCGTGCGGAACACCTTATAATTAATTAGTCAGTAATCTCCTTATATTAAGTAATTATTATGTAATCAAATACCCATCCAATGCGGAAGATTAAGGCCTTCTATAGTATAGTTCAAGGCATACATATAAGTCCGCACATTGTTCTTCAGCATGAGTTTAACCATTTTATCGTTTCCGGCCGTAAAGTATGCGTCGGTCAACATCTGATTGATATGAAATATTAACAATAAAATACAGTAATAGACGGCACAAGACATACATCGATATATCCCTGTCTGATGAGAGTTAAGTTGTTTGGATCACTCCATGGCATATACATGAATTTGATGGCACGGATCAGCGATTCCTGGTCTAACGTGTAGTTATATATTCGCACAAACTCTTCGGCCTTTTTCTGCAAAATCTCCTCATTTACCAAATAATTGTTGCGTTTGAGCTCTTCGTTAGCGACTTATCAATTATAACGCAGAATAATTATTGAGAGAAAAATAAATGATGGCGTAAAGCAAAAACTTACAGACAAAATACGAGCCCTCATCTCTGGTCACACCAGACATATACGCAAAATCGGGATCAAATTCGATGGCATTCTTCGAAAGTAAATTTTCTGGCAAATCGGGAACAGTTTGTTCGGTTCGCTCTCGTGTCCAACGGTCCACAACAGGACCCCATGCGAGCCAACCCACGTCTGGCTGTTTAGTGTATAAAACTTTTTGTTTAGTAATAATTGGCAAAAATATAGGAATATTCTTAATTACCGTAACTTCTGTTGCGGTCAAATCGAGAGCACTTCTACTCTTCAGACACTCTATTAAATTGTATGTATGTCTTGTGCGGCACCCAAATGAATAGCCGGCGACAACACTAGTGTTTCGCATATACAACGGGTCACGAATGAGGGCCCAGTCGGCCACTGCCGAACCACTTTGCGCTATCACTCGCTTCACGTACTCTAAAGTATTGACATTATATTTAATACATACTGTATTACAAAAATATATTTTCATATATAAATACTTTTAGTTTGTGGAGATATAGCCAATAGTCCAGCGCTGGCGGCGCCGGCATCGGGACCAAAAAGTGTGATTCTGTCGGGATCTCCATTGAAATTAATGATATTCTCACGAACCCAATTGATTGCTTGAATTTGATCTAAAAGCCCAAAATTTCCGGCCGAAGCGTTGTCTGCGGTCGCCATATATCCTATAATCGTATGGAATATTCAATAATTTATAATTTTGTTACATTTATTTTCATCAAAAAAATGAATAAAAACTCATTTATACCCAAAAGTCCCAAACGATAGTTGAAAGTAACGACAACTACTTCTTGAGAGGCGGCCAACATATGGCCGGAGAATGCATTGCCTGAGCCGTAATGGAAAAATCCACCATGGATGTATATCATCACCGGGTAGGGGTAGCGTACTTTCGATGCCGCCCATGGAGTGAATATATTCATATATAGACAATCTTCGCTCGTACGGGGAATACCAACATCTTTGCCGATATATCGTATATACTGTGGACACGAGTCCTCATACTTGAGAGCATATCTACTGCCCCATTGAATGGGCACTTGTGGTGGCTGTTGGACATCAAGTAATGTTATCATAAACAAAGTGTTGTACACTAAACACATTTTCCAGAACTTACTTTAAACCTAAGTCTTTCCTCACGAGTGGGAGGTCTGGCGTAAGGGACGCCTAGAAAAGTGGTCACATTCTTCCAGAAGTGTCTAATCGG